AGGGAGGGAGCCACCACGGAAAAGGTCCTTCTTCTTGGTCCCACTAGATGGACTTCCTTAATAAAGGGGACCAATAACATATCCTGCTTCCCCAGTCTGGTGGGTCGGGCAGGTGAAACTGGAAAAAGGTGGTCCTTCACATAAGCTGGCCCCAAGCCATGTAGGGCTTTAAAGGTGATAACCAGCACCTTGAATTGGACCCAGAAGCAAACTGGCAGCCAGGGCAGCTCCCGCAAGAGAGGTGACACATGTGCAAATCTAGGCTTGCACAAAACTATGTGGGCCACCACATTCTGAACCAACTGAAGCTTCCGGACACTTTTCAAGGGCAGCCCCATGTACAGCACATTACAACAGTCAAGGTGGGAAGTGAGTAGGGCATGGGGGACCGTGAGCAGTCAGTCATACTCCTGGTGGATATTTTGGATTTTCCAGTGTATAGTTTGAAAGCTGCTAAAAAGTCCACAGAGACAAAACCCTGGTTGATATTTGATCCAGTTGTATAAAATAACTTTGCTACTTTTCAACACTGAAGAGTCATCTCTGCAAGTGAGTAATGTGGGCTTAGTCAACTTGCGGGGAGAAAAGTAGGATCATAGTTGGTGGCTTCACCTTCCGATTTTGATGTTCTGAATTTGTGTGCATGATCTGTACATTATTTGTCTTTGCATAATGAATGTGGAGCTTCAATGGATACACTTTACCAGCATGCAGAGTTGTGTCATCTGTACTGGATTAGTTGACTGTAATCTAAACATTATAAATTGAGTTACTATATACTCAGAGCACCTGTCCATATTGGATGGAATTACTGCATGTGCTCTACTTGACTATACTGCATGTGCTCTACTTGACTATACTGTATGTGCATAGCAGTCTATTCACATGATTAGAAACCCTGCAAACCCAATATTCCCAGTGGCATAAAGAACATTCATACAGCTTTTCATGTTTGAACAACTCTATGAAGTCAGCTGATGAAAGCATATTATCCTGGGGGAAAAGAATCTCTGTTGAGATCATACTTCATTTTTCTCCCCCAAGAAGCATTTATTCCCCATAGTTGTGTCATGAAACTAGTTATGACATGAAACATGCCCACATGTTTTACCAGACTGCTCTAGTTTACACAATTTCAGTGATGACATGAAAAAAAACTTCTCTTCTGTAAAAGTTGCTACTGGACATGACACAGAAATCAGAAACTGGCTACATGATACTGGGATACTGATAAAAAGAAAATGGTCTTGGTGGGAGAACACACCATACCCTCATGCAAGCCATTATAGGTTGGTAGCATTAGTGGAACACTGACAGCCAATGTGTTGTAGTGGTGAAGGTGTTTTTGCACTGGGGAGACCCAGTTTTTTCTACCCGACTATGAAGCTTACTGTGCGGTTTTGATATGGTTACTGTCCCTCAGCCAAATGCACTGCACAGATTGTTCTAGGGATAAAATTAGGAGAAACTTTCTATCCTGCCTTGGGCTCCCAGATGATTTATTTATATAAACAAACAAATAAATAAATAAAGGTATGAGACTATCCACACTCATGATTTGTAGCATTGTCCAGCTATCTCAGTGCTGATACAACACTTAAGAAGTTGAGCGTTACTGCATATTGTCACAGCAATGGTGGGATCATTCTTTAAACTGGTGGCGTGGGAAATCTCAGTATCTCTTGCTCATAATCCTGTGCAATGCAGCAGATACGTGGTCACAACTGGAATTAGTGGTCTGTCATGGTTGCTTTAAGCACCTCCCCTGTTTAAAAAGTCACATACAAAAGAGTATGCAAGGGGGTAATTGCCATCTCAAAAGCTTAAAGTATACATACACTATGTATGCACGTCCACTAAAGTTCCTGTTATCACTGTCTCAGTATTTGAAATCTTGAGATCAATGGAGAGAAAAATGTCTTATCACTTGCATTTCCCACATG